TGTCCCACAAGAGTGTCCCAAATGAGTGTCCCACAGGAGTGTCCCACAAGAGTGTCCCGCAACAGTGTAAGCGTGTCCTACGAGAGTGTCCCACAAGAGTTTCCTACCAGAGTGTCCCACAAGAGTGTTCCACAAGAGTGTCCCACAAGAGTGTCTTACAGGAGTCTCCCACAAGAGTGTCCTACAAAAGTCTCCCACAAGAGTTTCCTACTAGAGTGTCCGACAAGAGTGTCCCACAAGAATGTCCCACAAAAGTCTCCCACAAGAGTGTCCCATAAGAGTGTCCTATAAGACATGTCCCACAAGAGTGTCTCACAAGAATGTCCTAAATGAGTGTCCCACAGGAGTGTCCCACAAGAGTGTCCCACAAGAGTATCCCACAAGAGTTTTCCATAAGAGTCTCCTACAAGAGTCTCCCACAAAAATGTCTTATTAGAGTGTCCCACAAGAGTGTCCCATAAGAGTGTCGCACAAGAATGTCCCACAAGAGTGTCCCGTAAGAGTGTCCTACAAGAGTTTCCTACAAGAGTGATCCACAAGAGTGTCCCATAAGAGGGTCCTAGAAGTTGTGTCATCTGGATATATGTAGCTTTTTTCGAACATGTTTGCATTCGGGTTCGTGGGCTCCATCTTGTTTTCAGAGGAGTTGTTCTCCTTAAGGTCCTTCGCATTTTTCTTATGGGCTCCAAAGTGCAGGCTATGACTATGAACATGAATCGGGTGGCCAGGGGTCTCCGGCTCTACTTATTCTAGTTGTTTTGACTGTTTTTTAATCGAATTACAGGTTGCGGTGCTTTCTCGTGGTGTAAGTTATCTTCACATTTGCTTCCTGCCTTCCTTCTGCTTCTCTCGCATCGCTTCGAGTTAATGGATCCCCGAGCAGCGGGGTTGCTTCGCTTTTGGGATTCCTTGTTGGGCCCTGACATCGTTGGAAGGCTGGGGAGGAACAGTTAAATCAATATGGTCAAACCCCAGCCAAGTTGTCCCCTCCATTGATAAGGACAAAGATCCAAACTGTCCTAGAATGCATCCATGCCCCAGGCTATGATCAGTTCATGAACATTGTGCTGGACAACACGGTGGAGATCGTCTCTCCCACTGAGAAGAACGAGATCGGCATGGTGGTGATCCGAGGCACCAGGATTGGTTTCGATTCTATCAGGTGGACGAAGGTAACACTTGGGGCTCTGTGCGATTACCTGTCATTGTTCTGTATGGTGATCCTGCCCTCCAACCATTGTTTCTGTGTGGTGATCTTCCCTTTAACCGTCGATAATACACAATGATCCATTTTTGAGAGATCCTTGAGATGTCGGCCTGCAACCTAATCATCCACTGGGCCCAGGGAATGGATGGGATATCATGGGCTATGATACCCACGGTAAAACCCTTTACAGTGGTTTCAGATGGCACTGCATGGCACCTCAAGATGAACTTTAGGGGGTCCATTTAAACCACCCAACATGGGCATTTTTCGGAGACCGCTTGGGGGTCGATTCGGCTGGGGACTCGATTTCTCCAGTTTCGCTGGCTCGGCTTACCCGGTTTCTCGGATGCGGTGGTGGGTTCTCTCAGCTCGCTCTGAGAGTGGTAGCTGGGGATCTATCTTCGCAAGACACCCATGAACTCCCCAAGCTGAAAAGGACATGCACTCCCCATGGCTGGTCTCTTCTGGTGTCCAACTCCTGTGGTGATTTCAGTGGTGGTTGACCAAAATCTCCCTGGATCTCCTAGGTGTTGTGTCGTGCTGATCTCCATGTTGCATATTGAATACCAGATGTTGACTGTATATCATGCCTGTCTTTTAGATGAAAGAACTCTTTTGAGGATCGGCTGAGGATCGGTGGCTTTTTGGATCCAGCTCAAAGGAGCGCAAGAGAGCTTGATGAGTTATGGCGCCATGTCTGTTCCATTGTTTCCCCATGTGTTTGCCTTCAAAACACTGCCACATCAGCGCCAGGCAATAGCATCATGATGTGGGAGTGCTTGGACAGAGTCAAGTGAGCCGCGCAACGCTCTCTTTGACTCCCTGCGAGACGCTGCGCACCGGCGCACGAGCGTGGCATGAAGTGGTAGAAAGGGTGCCTCATGCTGTTTGATTGTCCAATGACACCTTGGCTTTGTAACCTTTCAAGAATGTGTCATTGGAAGTACTTGCAACAAGTGAATCCTTCTTTGCACCATGATGAACTCGCTTGCTACAATGCCCTGCTATCAACTTACGAGGGTGTTGACAGAACTGTAGGTTTGGACCGTGATCGCCTTCAATTTTGTTTGCACTGCTCTCACTCTTCTGTAGATAAGGTGAAATTGTTGAGATGATGCGATGTTTGCCTGGTCTTTTGGTGGTCATGTTCTTTATTTTGGAGTCCTTATTTATTCAGCCCCTGAAGCACCTGGGCTCAAGACCCGCTGGGGGCAGACGTATAGTGAGACCAGAGACAGCCAGGCGCGGGGAAGCATATTTTTTTGGCTGGTCGGTGATTGAACAATACAGTTGTCGGTCGCTGATGCCATGCTATGCCCAACCGCCCAACTCCATCCAGTGTCAGAGACCTTGGCATCCTCACCCCCCCAAAAAAACGAGGGTGGCTGGCCATCGCTTCGTATGTGCCAGCGGCCGCCGCGGGTCACGGAACCATCGCCGGAACGCTCCGCTGGGTTCTGGAGCGCTGCGATCTCCAGCCCCAACACCACCAGTTTCCGTGTTCCATGCACGGCACATACCCAGACCCATGGGTAGCGTGGGTTTGAAATGCTTTTGAAGGTAGGTATAAAACATAAAAAAACACATAATATAACAATCATTAACATGGACTGTTGGAGATACAATCATGCTTCCAGAAGTTTCTGGCGACAGTTCCAGCTTCTATTCCCGCTCGGAACCTGACAACAAGCTTCTGCATTGTTTTGGGTCTCCATGTGAATGTCCTTCGGTGCATCCGAGCAGGAGAGATGTCGAAGGCGGGTCTTGGAGTGAACAAACCGTGGCAGCGTGGCTCAGTTGTGCATGAAACCATGAAGATTGGAATACATACTCATAATCCGCATTCGAAGCAATCCCACCTGGAGAATCGAAGATTGTAGGGCGAGGTGGCAAAAAGGGAGGTGGTGGGATTGTAAGATTGTATCCCACTTAGTGCAGGACTTTCTTGGACTTTATCTCCTCAAAAATCATGGCACGTTGCAAGAGACACATGGTAGCTCACGATGTTATAAATATTGTTAAGTCATGCTGATGAAAATTGTCATCACATGTTTTTGGACCATTTTCAGGATGGGCCACTTGCGTAGGAAACGTCGCTCAGGGTGGACTGGAGTTTCACTCAAGGACCAGGTTTGGAGGGGTCAGTTCCCAACCCTTTCACCCTTTCAGAATGTATACATAAAAATACTGTTTATTAACACAACTTCCATATGGACCTCATATGGAGATATACTGTAAATCATTCTGATAGGTGGGGTCATTAATCAATCAACAAGCTATATATTTATAGTTTGATAATGTTGGATCCATTGGTCCGTTTCCCTTGACCTGCAATCAGACAAGTTATTAGGGGGCTAGCGCCCACGGCTGCGGATCCAGGAGCATGATGAAAACTGGGTCGATACTGGTGTTTGGGGCAGCAGAAAAGTAAGTAAGACGCCCTGCAAAAACCCTTGCGTCTTGTTCCCAAAGCAACAAACCTCGTAAACATCGTGATTGCTGGCTTCCTGAAAAGCGTTGTAAATACAGTGTTCTTGGCCATTTATATTACTCCTAGTGTGAACAATCTCATATATAAATCTCAGCCTTCAAAGACAATTTACTGTACATTGTCCCCAGCCTTCAAAGACTTATTGTACAAGAATCGTTGACCCATTGTTTAGTGTAAATAAATTCCTTAGCAAAACGATTGTTGCTTGGCAAAGACCAATCAAAAACATGTTGGACTCATATAGGGTTGTTGGGCTCCTGATGCTAAAAACTTGAAGAAAAAATGCCGTGGTTTTGGGCTTCCAGAGGCTGAACGCATTTGTAACTCGTGAGTACCGGTGTTTTTGGCTTACTGATTTTCAAGAACATCGGTCTGTACTCTGACTCGACAAGTTTCTTGGGGATGGGCCTGCTTCATACCTACAGACTCCACTGACATTTTCACAAACAACATAATAATGCCATTTTGACTCAACTCGGTCTGGACCTCAAGTCGATCCATGTTTAACTATTTGTCGGCGTTTGCGGCGTGTTTGCCCATGTCAGTGTGTGTTTTTTTTGAATCTTGGTAAAAGCATGTAAAAGCTAGTCGCGGCGTGCTTCTGGGAATGCAGCATGTTTCTGCAAAGCGGCGTGTTTCATTGTAGATATGTCCAGGTAATCCTAGATATCGGCGCGCAGACGCGCGGGACCACACCACACAAGTGCCCCACGATCGGATGCAAAGGGATTAGGGGGCGGTCGAGCCCAATGCCAAATCCGCAACGCTCTTCCGAAGAAACTCTCGACAGTCAACAAATTGTTGCTGTTTTCATTTGTCAATTTGTTGGGCAGACCGACATCGCTTTGGTAATGTGACAGACCGACATCGCTCTCAGAGCTCACACACTTTCAATCGTCCTAGACCAGGGTCGGCGGATGGCTTGTTCGGGGTCACGTTGTCAGAAAATACATGTAGAAATTGAATGAAATGCTTGCAAGATCTCCCAAGATGGGTGTTTTCGCCTTTGATTCTGTCTGCCTTTAGTTTGACTCAGCTCGTAGACTCATATGCAGGTTTTAACATTTGCTGATCAACCCGACTTACTGGATGAATCCCCTCGGCTTACCTTTCAAACAGGTCGGAAAGAAACACATTTATTTTCCAAGGAAATTGAGGGAATCAGTCATGAAAACTAGTTGAACCTGCCGTGCGCCATCCTTTTCTCCGCTCCAGACTGGCTCGGGTGCCGACTTGCGAAAGTTCATGGAGAAGCGCCTGGTGAGTGGCCTCAGCAACAGACCATGCGAGTGGGGCTGTTCGAACACGCCAGAATCCAAAAATATAGCCAAAAATACATGCCAGGTGTGCAGGAAACTGGTGGGCGTAGCTCAGATCGGAGGGTCAAAATCAAGGACTTGCCAAGATTGAAATCAGGAAAAGTGGGCACCAACATTGATTGGAATGTTGTTGCTCGTGCGGAAGTGCCGAAGCATCCCACATCCCCATGTTGGTGGGAATATCATCATCAGTTTGTTGCCGGTTGGTATTCTCGTGTGTGTTGCTAATTGATGGTGAATATTATTTTTGCTAAGGGACCAGCTCACCAATGAATTTTATTTATAAATAACTTTTGTCTAATTAAAATTCATGGCGGTACACGGCTTAAAGTGAAAGGCTTGAGTTACAGAAATTTCCTTATGTTTGTAGGTCTTTGAACTTGGATGAAGAACTCAAGCCTTTGGTAACAGCCTGGTCACATCTGGGCCCCTTCTTGGATCTGGGGCCCCCTGCTCTTGGCCCTTCCCTTGTGACCTAGAGATAGAAAGATGAAAGCAAAATGAGGCCGTGTGCTTGGGAGCAGCGTAAAATAAGTGGATGACATTGATTCGTAAGTCATCGTCGTCGTGATTTCCTCTTCCAAGATCCACTGCTTCCAAGGGGTTATTCTGGGTGGATCTTGGGGGTGCCACAGGGAAGAGACAGATGGGCCCCTTCACTTCCTTCCTTAAATTGCTTCGTTCGGCCTTTTTTCCAGCTTCGCTCAGCCTGTTGGGGTCACCAGATATAGAAAGATGACCCGACCCAAGGGCTTGGCCAGAAGAAAACCCAACTTAGCTCCAAGACGGTCCAACATAGCCATAAGAAAGCCCAACATAGCACCCAAAAGAACCCAACATAGCCTCAGCTTATCAACTTCATTCACTCCTGAAAAAAATCCTTCCCCTTTAAGTCCACCGCTTCACGGGATAGAAGTGGGTGCCTGGCGATTGATCCCGGGGAGGACGTTGTTGCTTTTCTTTCGGACCGGCTGTAGGATTCATAAAGACTGTCGACCCTCAGAATGGTTGGTCACTAACTAACATGACAAAGGATCCCGAAATGTTCTTCAAGTTTGATCTTGTCTACAAAGCACTCTTGGGCTCCAGAGTGCTTCCTGTAAATCTTCTCTTTGAGGTTCAGTGGAGCTGGACAGTGTCGTTTGGTCCACAACCGCCTGGCGACCAAAACCAGCATGTGGTGTGGTTGGACGATGGCCTCACTTCATTCCTCGAAGACATTCATTGATCGAAGCACCCGACCTGCTTCGCTGCACAAATCGACAACCTGTGCTCAAATCTCCTGCCACCTGCCACCTGCTTCGCCCAAGGACTTGAAGCTCACCGCCAACCGACACGTGGTCGGAGTCCTCCGAGGCACACGGAGTGGCATCGGAAGGAGGAGCGGGGGAACAGGACGCATGTGAGAGATGGAAACGGACAGAAGAACTGGGTGGCTGCTTAGGTGGTTTCAAGATGTTTCAATAAATTTTGTGTTCAACCTTTAATTACTTGGGATGATTGAGCCTACTGAGTACGTCATTTTTGTTCGTGAGTTGACTCCACCAACCAGAGAAGGTATCCAACAGTCAGATCCAACAGTCAGCTCTGGAAGAATCCTATGATCAGTTCACTGGAACATTCTGGAACCGTTGGTTGAACTTTGGTTTGACATGGTTTGACCAGATGTCATGTGTCATGTCTGGATGCCGTGAGGGTGGATCCAGGAAGTGAGGCTGTGGTTCTCGACTCACGACCACCACAAACCAATGGAAATGCACCTTTGATCACCATCTTCATCAGTGGTGTGCTTCTTAACTATCAAAGCGAGACATGAATCCTTGAGAACCAAAATCTGTCTTTCACCACCTTCAACCGTCAAGAAAAACATGTTTAGACTGACGAGTTGTCGCGAGTTGTCGTAGGTCACCAGTAGGTGCAAATAGGCACCAAGGAGACCTAGAGGACCCCTCGTTTCTTAAAGAAAGGAATATGGGGTCTACTGGCGGATGGACCGATGGATCAAAGATAGATCATGAGTCATGAGAGATCTCAAATTTAGAGATTACACAATATTGTTTGTTGTCCGGAGGCGTTGTCTTGGAGGTTGTGGACGTCAGTTCATGAATCTGATCCAGAATCATAAGATCCTGGACCTGGTCGTTGGAAGGCTGGGGAGGAACAGTTAAATCAATATGGTCAAGCCTGGCCAAGCTGTCCCTTCCATTGATAAGGACAAAGATCCAAACTGTCCTAGAATGCATCCATGCCCCAGGCTATGATCAGTTCATGAACATTGTGCTGGACAACACGGTGGAGATCGTCTCTCCCACTGAGAAGAACGAGATCGGCATGGTGGTGATCCGAGGTCCGTCGACGGAGACGGTCAGCGGTCGTGGAATGGATTTTGGACCGAACGATCCGAAAGATGCTAATAGCTTCTTGTTACTATACTAGTAAGGCACTTGTTACTACTAGCGTGGCACTTGTTACTACTAGCGATGCACTTGTTACTACTAGCGATGCACTTGTTACTACTCGAACCCTGAAATCATCATGGTTACATGGAAGTGGAGTTCACCACCTGTTGGTAGAGGATGGTAGAGGAACATGTACTCATCCAAGGGAGAGCATCATTATTGTCCACGTAACCATGAGGATTCAAGGGAGTGATTTCCAACATCTTCAGCCTTGCTTTGATGTTTCCCCGGCCATTGATGTGAATGTGCCTTTCCCTTTAGGGATGCGATTGCCAACGTATTGGAATTGGAAGTCACCAGCGGTTCCCACAACTAAACACATCGTGCTCGAACGACCGTGATCCTTTACAGTGGCAGCTAGGATCGACTGATCGACAGGCTTGAACCATGGAAAGGAATGTGATGAGGACCAAAGATGCTCATCATATGCTTTCAGGTCTTGGTGACCTGATGGACTTCCACTGTCTTCATTTGGACCTGATGAACTTCCTACTCTTGCTGAGTCCCACCAAGAAAAAATACAAGTGCTGGAAGACCCACCTCGGAATTGGGTATGCACGATGGAACAGCAGATACAAAAATCCAACGGACGTTCAGCTCAAGACTGACTGTGATGCAAAGGTGGTGTTTGTTTTACTTGCCAATATCGCTGTGAAGACGCAAAGACCGACAAACAACTTATGGGCCAAGTGCATGTCCTCCCGGAAACCAGATCTTTTTACTCCTGCAGTCTGCAGTCACTAGACTAGACGTCACGCATGTCACTGATTCCTATGTTTATCAATTCTTCGCGGTCAAAGGTCACCGATGGTCACCGGGTGCTCCGCCGGTCAGCACGAGGGTGCTCCGTCGCTCCGAAGCCCCTGCCAGGAAACAGCATCATGATGTGGGAATGCTTAGACCGAGTGAAGTGATCCGAGGAAAGAAACCTTTGCCGCGACAGCGCAAGCATTGCGCGATCTCGTTTGAATCCAATCTTTGGAGTCAAACAAGATGTCAAACAAAAGTTGTCGCTAAGTCTGCAGACGAGTCTCAGTCTCAGGTACATTACATCTTGGAATGTGAGCACAAGTACCTGGCTTATCTTAAAGCCACTCTGTAATTACACTGCAACAGAATGAGTGCTAGGGAGAGAGAAGTGTCCACTAGTTGTCTGAACCTTTATGAACTTTGGCTCCTCTTTGGCTTCACTGTATCTTTCTGCCGTGTGATGGCGGTTAGTGATGGATAGTGAGCACAGCAAGCTGCAAGCGACAAACAGCTTGGCACATTGCATACGAGGCCAAGTGTGCAAGATTTTGTGTGCCATCCTTTCCTGTAAACAGGTAGAACATCAGCAAAACCCAGTGACATGTCATGTAAATCTAATATTTTGCAATTTAAGGCGTTTGAGGCTGGTTGTTGGGCTCTAAAGTTACTAACTTTTATCATTCTGGGGTGTTCTCTTCACTGCACTGACAAATACCTAGGGTACTTACTCACTCGCTGGGCCGGACTGCAGTGAAACAACTCGCCATCAGAAGCCGTCAAAGGCTTGTGCGGCTTGTGTTCATAGGATGTGTTCTTTCCCTTCAACATGATGGTGTGCTTGATCCTTATTCTTGTCAAAGTTGGATGGCACAAACGTCCTCGCGTCCTAAAAACTACGGATGGCGCAAGCGCAACGACCTGGCGGGCGTTACAAAGACTGGAAGTGGCCGGGGGTTCGTCTCGGTGTGGAGTCCTTTTTGATGTTTGTGTTATATATTACACATATATCAGTAATATATCATATGAACAAATATATAAATATATATATATTTGTGATTATGTATATGAATTTATATAATATATATATATATATGAGTTGAGAATCAGTGTTCAGGAGTCTCATCTACAGTAATTTCAATTGATTTCATACCCGAACTATCTCTCTTGACTTGATCTGGAGGAAAACAGCGTTTTCGTGCGTGATCTCTTCTCTTGCCATGAATCTTCAACTCGACCCTGAAGAAGATGCTTGCCACCTTGCAAGGGGTACTGTAGTGATGATCAATGTTTTTGACTGGCTTAGAGAAGAGATCCTATGCCAGGCAAAGTCTCAGAGAATCAGTCTGCAAAGAGGGCATTTGCTTTGGGTCCAACTCCCCATTGTTTTTACTTGTCGCTGCCACCCATCCAGTTGTCATAATTCAGAGGCAAACGGAAGGGTAGTGCACAGAAAGGGTTTTGCAAAAACCTATTCTACTAACATCGTGGAAGGCGTGGGACATTCGTAGAACCCGAGGCTATTCGTGGACAGTTCGTGGAATGGTGGGCCAGTAGGAGAACTGACTGCAACGAAATTCCAGAAACCTTCGCAGAACTTCGTGGAAGGTATTTTTGATGCACTAACTTCGTATAAGCGATTTTTGCTGACCTCCTTTCTCCACACACCCTCCATTTAGCCTTCAATAATTCACCCAAATCTAAATACATTTAGGAGCATTTGCTGCTAAGCATCCTTTACCAACATTTACCAACACTTGCTGAACTGGTACCTGTTTGAGTTGCTGTTGACCGACCAACGCGCACGGTGTTCATTCTGACATGGGCCCTTTGCAGGTTTTAGACCCAAATCGGAAAAGAATCGACCAGGCTTCCCCAGAGGGTGTGGATCCTTTTTGGAAACTCTAGTTGGGTGAATGGAATCTGTCACCCGAGTTTTTCCAGTTGGGTTCATTCCATCGTTCTTGGCGCTTTAAACATTTTGTATCATGTTTCTACCGTGGTGTTTTGTGGCGCTTTTTTGCGCTTCTCATCCTCGGCAGGCTGACAGTGAGAGCGAGGCCTGCGAGCTGGAAGAGTCAATGATGACGATACTTTTCCAGTTAATCCCAGTCGCCACGATATTCTACATACTGTATATATACTATATACCTCAATGCCTCCGAATTGATGCCTTAATTAAAATATGATAATATGATCATATGATATCATAACTATATTTATATTTATATGTTTTTTGTTATGTTATGTTATGTTATGTTATGTATGTATGTATGTATGGTATGGTATGTTATGTGATGTGATGTTATGTTATGTATGTGTGCATTAATGTAATGTAAATGTTAATGTAAATGCAAGTATGTATGTATGTAGTATGTAATGTATGTATGTATGTATGTATGTATGTATGTATGTATGTATGTATGTATGTATGTATGTATGTATGTATGTATGTATGTATGTATGTATGTATGTATGTATGTATGTGTGTGTGTATGTATTTGTATGTGTTTGTATGTATGTATTTGTATGTATGTATTTATGTAAATGTATGTATGTATATGTGTATGTGTGTATGTATTTGTATGTATGTAATTGTATGTATGTATATGTATGTATGTATATGTATGTATGTATGTAGGTATGTATGTATGTATGTAAATGTATGTATGTAATTGCATGTATGCAATTGTTTGTATGTAATTGTATGTTATTATATGTAGTTGTATCTAGTTGTATGTAGTTGTATGTAATTGTTTGTAATTGTATGTAATTCTATGTAACTGTATGTAATTGTATGTAAATGTATGTAATTGTATGTATGTGTATGTATTTGTATGCATTTGTATGTATTTGTATGTAACGTAATGTAATTTAATGTAATGTAATGTAATGTAATGTTACGTTAGGTTAGGTTACGTTACGTTACGTTACGTTACGTTACGGTATGTATGTATGTATGAATGTATGTATGTATGTATGTAATGTATGTATGTATGTAATGTATGTAATGTATGTAATG